TATGTGGTTGGCTCCTTAGCCGCTTGAGCCACAGGCGCCAAGCCTTAGAAGACATTCTTACATTTTCTTGGCTGTATTCCTTATAAGTGAATACATGACCTCTAGAAAAATGAGGTCTTAATGCATTTATAGGAGCCTTCCTCCTATCACGGCTTTTAACAATAATGTTCTATATATGACATATACCTTGCTATATTTTTTCTCCTGGTATATTTTTATTATCCCCAAATGCCCAGAAGTCAGAACATATTTTATTTAAAAGGGAATCACTGGTTTGATTTCTGAAAATATCCTTTCTCCCTGATGAAGATCAATGAGCTAAGCATGGTTGGAGTATCAGGAACACGGTCTCAGGAATTACTGCCTATGGAACATTAAAAACCAAATTTATTATCTGGTGATTTTAATGTATTTGCTGAGCTTTCACCTGAGAGGTTAAGCTCTGGAAAATATGTATTTCTCTTTTAGGTTCATAGACATTCTATCAAAATGGCAAGTTTCTCTGTGGCTTTTGTGAAAGACAGATGAGGGAATTCCTGGCAGATGAGGCCAAAGCAGCATAATGACTGTGCTGTTTGGTGGAGGAGGAGTGTTGGTGTCAAGGGCCAAAACCAAACAAAACAAAACACCGAAAGACTAAGGAAACATTGTGAGTGTGGAAGAAAAATATTCTGAGGTCTCTCCAATTTCACTGTTAAAAACTTGGAAAAAATGGCAGGTGAGTTTCAAGACCAATCTGTCCATCATTCACAGCTATAAAAAATGACGTAAAGATGAGAAATACCAGACGCCTTTGATTCTCTCACCTCCCTGTCCTTGCTCTCCATGTACCCCCAAATCCCAGACTCTGTAGAGAATACATCGTCACCCTTCCCCACCTCAGATCTGAGACTGATGAAAGTTGCTGGCAAAAGTAGCAGGCCAATTAGAACTGCCATAAATGTTTGCTTCCCAAACTCCTTGTGGCTTAAATTTTACCTAACCTCTTTCATCACTTCAGCTGCAGAAAAACAAATATCCCCTTTCCTTTCTAACCCTCTATGTCCTTGATCTCATTTTTTCTTTCTCCAGCTTTAGTATAAAGTTCCACCAATTCCCTTCTTTCTCCTATGTTCAATTATTCCTTCTCCAAGGACCTCTTCCCCATCTTACAATCTGCTCATTTGGCCTTATTCTAAAAGCAAACAAAACAGAATCATAAGAATACCATCCTCTCAATTCCTTACACCAACCAGACGTTTTTATTTTCCTCAATTTTTTTTCCTAACAAATTTGTTAAAGGTTGACTCTACTCTTCCTGCCTCTAATCCACACTCCACATACTGCAATGTAGGCTTATGTACTCACCATTTTAATGGACCAAATTCTCTGAAGGACTATTAATCACTTCTTAGGACTCAGGTTTTTTTGGCCTATTTTTCAGGCTTCACCCTGTGATATCTCCACAATTAATACTTGGCACTGCTGGTGACTCCTCTTTCTAGAAATTTCCTACTGTTTGTTCTCTGAGGCAGTGCTTCCCTGGGTTTCTTCCTGATGTTCATCTTTTTCTCAGCTTTCTCTTCCTTCTTCCCTCTTGAAAGTATGTCTTTCCAAAGAGCTGTGATTAGTCTTCTTTGTTCTACACAGACTCACTCATTCTATGACTCCAAAGTTAGATTGTTACACTGCCCCCATTTACTTCCTCCAACTCATCCCTAAACCTGTTCCTGTTCTGTTTCACAGAAGGGGGGAATCACTCAAGTTGAAAAATCCAGTGGGTTCTTCCAGGCCACATTTTACTTGACTTCTCAGCAGATTCAGGCACTGTTGACCATTTGCTCCCTTTTGCCTGCTTCCCTGACAGAGCACTGCCTCGTTTCCGGCAATCTTTCTGACATCTTCCCTGCATCCTACGCAAGCCCTTCCTCGTCCACTCAACTGGTGCACGTTAGAGTTCTTCAAGGCACTTTCCTCTTACCGTTCAGTATTCACTTCCAGTTTCCAAACTTAGATGTATGGAAGACTCACAAATGTTTCCCTCTACCCCCTTTGAGCACCAGACACACATGGGCACCCCCCCCCATACACACAAATTGCCTATTCAGATCTATTCTTAAATGTTGCAAAGCAATCTCAAACTCAATGAGTTCAAAATAAACTTATGATTTCTTCCCAAATCTGATTTTTTCCCAATTCTTCAACAATACTCTCAATCCTTCTAGATGCTTGAGACAAGCCAAGAAGTTGTGCATGGTATCTCCCTTTTACCCAATATTCACCCACTACTGGTATTGAACATGAATAAAAAATATGTATCACTTACAGAATTAAAATTACTGATTTAATTAACAAGTACAAACACTGGGTTCCACACATGGGATGGAAACATGGTTTCTGAAGATTTCATTGTTTAACTGACCAGTACTTGGCTGGTGTTTATAATAATGACCCATTTTTACAAGAACACATTCTGCTTGGTAATCTCGGCTTTTTATAGCAGGGATGTTTATAACATATTTTAGAAAGATTTTTTAATCAGGAAAGTTTAAAAAGTTCTAAAGTTCCAGGTAATTATCCTCGATGACTTCACTTTTGGACAAAGCTGGATAAAGGGTCTACTGATGCATGTTATTACATTAAAATTGGCACTGCCTATAAAGGAGATAGGATGTACAGTTCATGAATTTCCTGTGGATGACTATAGATGGTGAGCCATATTTACCAGCAGAATTTTGTTAATACTCTCATCTGTACTGCCAGCAATTAAGCAGTAACAGTACTTCAGTCAAAACTTAAACAGATTATTTGAAATTTTTCAGGAAAACTAGAAGGGGAAAAAATACTGTCTCTGGAGTATTAACACCCACCTTCAATGACAGAATGTGAATACATCTGCC